AGTCCCCCTCCCCCCATTCAACCCAACTTCAGCCTCGGCGCTGCGCCCCCCTTTCCTGGCCGGGCTGGATTGGCCGCTTCCGGAGCTGTCAGACTTGAGTCCGGCGCTCTTATTGGGCGATTCTCTGACCGGGCGGCTGTGCCAAAGGAGGGCGCACCGGGCGGGGGACGCCTGGGCAGCGACTGCCGCAAGGAGAAGGAGACCAGAGTCCCAGAGGAGTCGGAAGGGCCCGGGAGCCAGACCCGGAAATGGACAGGGGAGATGCAGAGACAGAACCTCTGAGGCGCAGGAAGACAGTGATGGAAAAGATGGAGATGCAGTGGGTGAGGCCGATGCAGCCAGGGCGGGGTGGACAGGAACGATTTGGTGGGCGGTTACCGAAAGGAAGCCTCACAGACACTACGGGGAACACCTGGCTTTCATAAGGAGCTCTTCGCCTGTTCATAAAATCTAATTTGAGTCCCCTCAATAACCATGGAATGTGTCAGGGATCAGGGCCTGTGTGGTTAGTCCCAGTTTATGGATGCAGGAGCTGAGGCTCTGAGAGCTTAGTCAACTTGCCATAGGTCACACAGGTCTCATAACTTGAAACCCAAAGATTTTTCATCGGCGCCAGGCGCCTCCCTAACCTAGCAAGGTGCTAGAAGAAGGGGCACCCGAGCAAGGCAGAGCTCGACGGGAATGACTAGATACTCCTGCACAGCACCGGCTACAAAAGGCAGGAGTGGAGAGGACTTTACTGTGGTCGAAAAGGATCTAGGCCTGAGGAATATGTCTACCCAACTCCCTTTGCCCTAAGCTGTCCTGCTGGAGGCTCTGGCAAGCTAAAGCCTGGGGGGGGCACGCCCCTACCCAGGGTGGGGGCTAACTGCTTTCACTTTACCCTTCAAGGATCCTGACTGCGCTTCTCTCTCTCTCTCTCTCTCTCTCTCTCTCTCTCTCTCTCTCTTTCTCTCTTTCTCTCTGTCTCTCTTTTCATCACCCCCCATCTCTGTAGATTAGAAAGGAAACTACAGAGTTACAAATTGGAAGGAGAAAAGTTCCAAGAGATAGGAATAAACTAACCCTTGAGTAATCCAGCCTTTCTAGAGCACCCTCAAGGTGCAAAGCACTGTGCTAGTTCCTACCACCCCCACAGAGAGAGAGCAAACTCTGGATCAGCAACTTACAGTCAGGAAGGGAGAAGAGCTAGCCACTACCTCTAGATCGAAGCAGAGTTCAGTATTCAACAGAGGTCCAACACACCTTGCCTGGCATTCAGAGAGAGGAGGCATCACTTCCTACTAGAAGGCAAAAAAAAAAAATCCTGGAGGTCAAATCTATGCCCAGCAGGGAAGGATGAGTATGAAGAAAGGGGGAGGATGGACTAATATTTATTAAGCAACTGCTATGTGTCTGTAAATATTTTATTGTCAGAAAATCATTTCGAGGAAGGTGTTGCTCTCCCTACTCTACAGATGAGAAAACTGAGACTTAGAGAATCAAAATTTGTTCAAGGCCCACAGTTTGTAGCAGTCTTCTCCCTGTACTCTGCCATGCAGCCATGTAGCAAATATGACTTGAGAGGGAGACTCAAGATATAGGCAACTTCTTAGACAGAGGCCAGATGGCCAGAGGGACCAGAGTTATTGATCAAGCTTCCATCCTTGATCCTCTTCACATTCCCATAGCTCTCTCTAGTCATTCCTTTTAATTTTATTCAGTTTTTAAAAAGTAATTATCTGACAACAAAAGCCATTTATGGTTGGTGTAGAAAAAACCAGAAAACAGAAAAGAAAACACACTCATAATCATATCACCTAGAAAGAAACAGTGTTAGGATCTTGATTTTTTTTTTTCTTAAACAATAACTGGATCTTTTATTCTGTAATTCATTTTAGAGTCTGCCTTTTTCTACTTAACAAAATGTTATGGATTTTTTTATGTCAATAAGCATTCATCTACAATAGCCATTTTACTATCTGAATAGAATTCCATTGCATGGGTATGGTATAATTTATTTAACCAGTCCTCTGCTGTTAGACATTTTTCACTGTCATAGCAGTTTATAAAAACTTTCCACTCCTTTACTGTTATAAACAATGAACACTTTTGTAGATAAATTTTCACACACGAGTCGGGCATTATGGCGTGTGTCTATATTCCCAGCTACTCAAGAGGCTGAGGCAGG